CCTTAGCAACAGAAATGTGGAGCTTCCTCTAATGCAGAGGTTGTGTGGGGGGGGGGGTTGTCCTGCATGTCTGTCTCCAGGAGGGAAGGTGAACTGGGCCTGCATTCGAAAGTGACGGAGGCCTTCCCCTGTGGCCTTTGTCATTGATAGTGCAGGCAGAGAATGCCTGAAAGCATTTCCCGTGTTTGTGGGGCCTCTTGCCGTCTCCTTCAAACCCTGAGCTTTTCAGACACGGTTTTGAGCCGCGGTGGTTAGAGTGCAGTAGTGCAGGCTACTTCTGGCGACTGCCGGCTGCCTGCAATTTGGCATTTTCAAATCTCACCAGGCTCAAGGTTGACCCATCCTTCCATCCTTCCAAGGTGGGTAAAATGAGGACCCAGATTGTTGGGGATGATAGGCTGACTCTGTAAACCGCTTAGAGAGGCCTGTAAAGCACTTTAAAGCGGTATATAAATCTTAAGTGTTAGTGCTATTTCAATTAGCCACCTGATACTTCATACTTTGATTTTGGAAGTGTTAATCATAATTTTGATTGCTTTTTTCCCTCATTAATGTAAGGGCATTCTTTCTGTACTATATTCTGTTGTGTTCCAAAACAATGCAGTTGTCTTTCTGTGTGGCTCTTGACAGAAAGATAAGTAAAATATTAATCATATATTCTTGATTTCTTTCTGTTCTGATGATTTACAAAGCCATAGGCTTGCTCTGATAGGCCCCCAGACTTTAAAGCTATAGTTGGTTAGCCCTATAGAAAATAGTTAAACCAGGTAAAATTTCTCAGGTTTTATTAAGATTAAAATTAGGATAATGAGCAAAAATGACAGACAGTAAAACAAATAAATGTAATTTAAATCAATACATTATTTTAGAAGGATGTTAGGGGGTATTTTCTGTTAAGATATTTTTGATTATTTATCTACCTGAATTCAGTGTTGTCCTGATACAATTTTAGGAGATGAAATGTCCTAAAATGTTCTATTTTTATCTGGTAGTTTGGTTCTTTCTTTTGCTGTCCCCAAGTGATTAAAAGTTGGAGGTCATTTTCTTCCTGTAATAGTATTTAAGTGGGAGGAGAAGAGCCATAATACTTTCCGTTTGCAATCTAGTGTGGCAAATATGGGCAGAAAATTACCTTTTGTGCAGCTTCCATGGGACGTATTTTGCATGTCCTCTGAGCCCCAAAATTTCAGTCAGTGGTGTAAAGGTTATTCTGTCAAGTTTCTAAATTTGGGGCTCCGGAATTAATAAAAAAATATTTGCAGTTACTAGCTATAGGTACATTTTGTTCTTAAAGCTTCGCAGGTTAGAATATCTGAGAGGAAAGGATACCCCAAATGAATATACCACCTTATTGAGGATCTGTTTGTATTGGATGCCCAGTGCTTCGCTCTTTAACAGTAGTTTTTATGGAGAACAGATTTATTCTGATATATTGTGTGTCAGCCTTCCTCAGCGTATTTTCCCTCTTCCAAAGGTTTTAGGATTAGGGGGCCTTATCATTCCTGTCATATCAGGACTGTTGACACCAAACTGATATTCCATTAGGGAAGGCCGTAAACATGCCAGAGTCGTATTTGCATATAGTTTTGGCTAATGCTTTTAACTCCTTTTCTTGGTCATATTTGTTGAAGCATCTTGCTGACAATCTCAAAGCTGCCTGTAGGGAGGGGATTTATGATACATGTATACATCACACCTTTGCTGTATTTTGACTCATAATTCTTGGGCCTCTGTTACAACCAAGTCAACCGTTGCCTCTTTCTTCTCCAGGTCTCTGCCCTGGATCAGGAGATTATTGAAGTGGACCCAGATACCAAGGAAATGTTGAAATTGCTGGTGAGTAGGGCATTGGCATGGCTGCCAGTAAGAATTGCTTTTCTATAGTGGCTGGGTTTTTTAAAAAAATTGGCTGTTGATGTGAGATTAAGTGAAAATAAAATAGCCAGGAGAGTCAGTGTGGTGTGGTTGTTATGAGCACCAGGCTATAAGCTGGGTGACTGTGAGTTCTAGTTCTACCTTGGCATGAAGCCAGCTGGATAACTTCAGGCCAGTCCCTCCCTCTTGCACACTTAGAAGGAAATGGTAAACCACTTCCAAAAACGTTGCCAATAAAGCTTCATGAACTTATCCAGGCAGTCACCGGTAGTCAAGACATGAAGATGCCCTCCCAAAAAAGTCACCCCACTTGGTAGTCATTCTACCAGTAGTCAGTCCATAGAGCTGAGGTGGCGCAGTGGTTAAATGCAGCACTGCAGGCTACTTCAGCTGACTGTAGTTCAGCAGTTCGGCTGTTCAAATCTCACCGGCTCAGGGTTGACTCAGCCTTCCATCCTTCCGAGGTGGGTAAAATGAGGACCCTGATTGTTGTT